CGGAACCTGCACTGAACGAGACTGCCAGTGAAACCCGTAGCTACACGGCTGTACATTTTGGCATCCTCATTCAAGGTTTGCCCGCTTCGATCTCCAGGACCACGACCTGGACTCCCTCTGATTGAACCTGAAGTCGAAGCCCTAAAAGTTTAGGGTTTAGGGGCGTAGGGGTTTCGGGGCTTAGGGTTTAGGCCTTTAAGCGCCCAAGCCCGGATCGGTAAGTCCTGCGGCCTCAGAACAGACCCTGCCATCCTGCAGCCTCCTGAGTTGTCATGCCGATGTGAACTATTCAGGATGCACCCCAGCTTCATCTCTCGAAGCCAAAAGCCCTGATTCGTAGAGCGACTGCACCCTGAGCCACGAAAACCTAGAGCACGAAACTGAAGCCAGGGCCGTGCAAGATGTGCCAAAGCATGACCTTCCGAAGGCGGGAGAACAAACCGAGGGGGGAAGGGGATAAAGAGGGAGGGTAGGGTTTTGCCGGGGTTTAGGGGTTTAGGATTTTTGTCGGGCAGTTCAATTTCAAAGTTTAAGGATTAGGGGTTCAGAGTCTGTGGTCTATTTTGTGAGAAGATCGGTTCCCGCCGAGGTGTTGTCCTGGCAGTCGGACTATGCCCTCGATATCTGCCTAGCCTGATTTGTCAGCGGTGTCTGTGAGTGTTCATCCTCATAAGCCCAGTCCCGAACCCCGAAAGCTGAAGATCTCTTTTATCTGCTTGAAAACATCTGAAGAGCGAAGTGATCCTAATGCAACTGAAGATGAGGGCCAGGACCGGCCAGGACATGGCTGCTTCATGTTGAAGACGAAGTGCGTGCTTTCCCTCCGAATGCGATCATTTGTTCCATGGCCGCCTACTTTTCGAGGAACAGAGGCTGGCCTGGAGAAGGTCTGCTTTGAATTGTCTCAAGCAGCACTCAATCACTCTGAGTGGAAAGGCTGAGCTGCAACCCCACCCAAACTCAGAGCCCGCAATCCCACAAGCACCCCAGACCTTAATGTACCCCCCCCCCCCCTCATCAAGAAGCGCCAACAGGAGAGCTGTAAGCCGACAATCAAACCAAATCCGTAAACCCCTTAATCACGAAAATTGCATCTAAAAGCCTTAGTCGATGCCCACAGCACTGAAAGCTGTGTCTGCAAGGCATTCCGTCATTGCAAGTGCAACGACAGCCCAAAAGCTAAACCCGCAAGTTTAATCTGGGCACATCCAAGTATTTAGCCGCGAGGCTCTTCCACCCCTGGGAAGGGTCTACGATACGCAGCTGGTCCAGTATCAGGCGAGGGCTGTCCTGGGTTCATGTGCTTAGGGCTTGGGGCTTAGGGTTGAAAGTATGGGGCTTGGAGAACTTGGTTTTAGCTACAGTACTCTTAGACCACTAGAAAAGACACGTGTTTCGAATATTACGCTTTAAATTTCTTTTTTGTGGCAATTGGGCAGGTGTCTCGGCACTTCGCAGCGGCAGTCCTCAATGAAGCCGATGGTGTCTTTGAGTTTTGTTTGCGAACATGCCCTAAACCCTATATCCTACTAATTCTTTATTTTTTTTCTCTCTCTCTCTCTGTCTCTGTTGGACCCCCTAAAAAGGGACCCCCCCCAAAAAGAGAAAACTACCCCAAGTAGACCCCTCCAGAACTCAGAGTCGCCCCAGGGTCGAGGCCTTGGGTTGGCCGGGCAGTCCGCGGTGATGGCCCGAGGGCCCAAAAAGCTTAGGGTCCTTCTGGTCTCTTTAAGGTTTCCTTATAAAGGGGTCATAGGGTTTTTTGAGGATTGGGGTCGAAGGATTTTTTTGGATATTGGGGCTTCGGATTGGGAGTTTAGGGCTTCGGGCTTCGAGTTTGAGGTCCAACCGGGTCGAAGACTTTCCGCTCTAGAGTTGGTTAGTCGGCTTTGGTGCTTAGATGCTAAGAGGGTTTCGTGCCCATGGCTGGAGTGTTTAGGGTTCAAAGGCTTGGAATCGTTCTGCTGTATCGTGGCCGGCGCCGGCAAAGTCTGCAGCCGCCGAGATTCGAAACGCCACCTCCAAGCAGCACTTCCACGTGATGATGCTGCGTTGGATGTGCCCCGNNCCCCCCCCCCCCCCCTCCAACAAAAAGCAGAAGCGCGAGCTGCTTTGAATCCTAGCCCCAGGACCCTACACCCCAACCCCCAAAAGCTGAGCCATAGAACCTTAAACCCCTAAACCCTAAACCCTGAACCCCATGCCCCGAAAAGCACTCTTCTCAGGCAGTGCGGAAGAATGTGCGGAGCATCATCACGGCCAGTAGTCTGGCCAGCAACACGGAAGGGCTCGGTGCCACAGAAGGCAAGGGGGGAATTTCGCTCTGAAATGCATGAAATCACAGTAGGGTTCAAGCTCAGGGTGTCTAGTTAGGCCCAGTACTACGACATACGGGAAGTTGGACTCTAGACTTGTGGGAATTCGAGGCTGAGGGTTTCGGTTGTAGTCTCAACTTCGAGTTTCGGGCGAGGGCAGTTCCGGTCAAGGGCAAAGCCCTGGAATTGTTTCTTTTATCTCGCGGTCGCTAAGCGAAGGGCGGGCAGGGGCGAGGGGAGGGCCGGCTGGGTTTAGGGTTTTGAGGGTATAATTTTTGTCTTAGTGCTGAGGGTGTTTCGGTGTTCAGCGTTGTTTAGGGTTCAACTCTTCAGAGGGGTTTTCGGTTGTTTAGGGCTCTTTAGGGTTCTGCCTTCCTTTTTGAAGGGGCGGGCAGGATATTGAGTTCTGCTTCAGGTTTCTATTTGTTCAGACCCATGTATTCGATTCAGTTAAGCTTCCATCCCAAGCAGTAGCCTGATAGGCAAGTACATTCCAAGATTCGTCCTGATCAAGCTGCTGTCCTGTCCCGCGATTCAGAACAGCGGAAATCGCAGTAGCTGCAAACCTTTCATGGGCCCGACAAAACCTGAAACCTGCCTGCTTTAATGTTCCCATCAATTTAGAGGCCGTAACACAAACAAGGTAGGTTCCTTAGACTTCTAGAAACCCTCACGGGAACCATTTAGGGAACCCTACCTACACCCTGAACCGCCCTGAAGAGGCTTCCAGTAGCAGTCCTGACAGGAACAGAGAAGACCTAAGCCTCTATCCGCTTGTGACGGTTTACGGGTCAGGGTGATCTTGCTTGCGTCAGGGAGCTACTACAACCGCCTACACGACCGGATCCGGGCGCACCACCCAGCAACTTTGGAGCCTTTTGGTGCATTCTACACGGGATGACTGGCGTACTGCAGCATCTAGATTCTAGATGTGGGTTTCCCATGTTGCACAGTTTTCCGGCATAGCTGCCGTGAGCAGCCGCTCTGGCTTAGATCTTCGCTGATCCCGAACCTTGTAAATTCAACCAGCTGTGAGGCATCAGAGCTTGCTTCCCTCAGCCCATCCGGCGCTACAACCCTTCTTGATTTCACCCGCCTGCTTCTCTGTTGCAAACCATTGTAGATCCTGTTGCGTACGTCGTGGAGCTGATGTAGTAGGTCCTTTTCAAACATGAGTTTATATCCCACAAAGCCACAGTGTGGAGGATCTGCGTGCACTTCCAGCAGATTCGCAGAAAGTGCAGGTTTCGGGTAGGGTCTTCAGCTCATGTTGCGCAGCGGACCCTAATGTAGTACCCCTAAATAGTAGGATCCTCATTACAAGGACCCCAAAATAAGGTACCCCTAATGTTCGGAAAGTCCCACTGGGTTTGCACAGCCGAAGAAGATGCTGGCTGGCAGGGCTCCCAATCATCTGTGGATGGCGTCTCGGGCTTCCAAACGCCTGCGTCTCAGTGGCTTAGTATAGTATGTATGTATATATATATATAGTATATTGTATATAGTATATAGTATATAGTATATAGGGGGCCTTATTCGGCCTCAATCGCTAGACTAGGGTATATTTTGCTGTGTTTAGGGTTTACGAACACCAAGGCGTAGTATTTCGCATTGTCCAAGCTTCCGTATTACAGCTCTACGTAATTGCTGTCTATCAGGATATACTGAGTTTGGAAAGACGAGTTCAAGCCAGCATACAGTTCATCCGTATAGGCATCGATAAATCTGTGCACGCACAAGCGCTTGCAAACAAATACGAACGTTCATGTACGCATGTGTGTGCGATTGTGTGCATATGGTTGCATGTGCTGGATGTCTAAAGCGGCGCGCCGTAGCCCTCTCTCTCTCTCTCTCGTTCTTTGTTTGTTGCTTTGTTTGTTGGCTGTCTGTCTGACTGGCTCTGTGCATGTGCGCTTATCCATGCACGCGTATGCATGCACACATTCTGCAAATAGAGCGCACTGGCATGTAAGCAAGAATTCCGTCAGGTGTCATATGTTTGGTGAGATACTATGCTTAAGCAGTTGCATGAGTTCATGCTGTCATGTGCATTTTAGCCTGCAGCATCTTCGCAGAGCAGGTTCTTTGCATAGACCCTGGGCCTCAAGCCTTGATTTTGGAGCGCTTGAACCAAGCCGTCTCGATTGCTGCAAGGTCGGTGTCTGGCGAAGTCAGCACAGCGCTGAGTCCGAGATCACCTTGCGGGATAGAGCGAGTATACACTCATCTAGGCCTGCGCCCAAACCCCTGTCTGGATCCTTGAATTTAGTGATCGGGCCAAGGAGCTGTGAGGGCCCGACCTGATGTGGGAGGGAATTGCGGTGTGAGACTTTCTTGGGTTTAGGGTTGTGGGTTTGGGTATCGAGGCTACCGAGGTTTGACATTTCATTCAGAGGCTGGAGCTTTTGACTGCAAGGTTTGGAAACGGGCTTTATGTACATAGGTTATTGGGCCCTGAACGTTCAATCATGAACCCAACATCCCTTCGCCAAACCACTTTCAAAGGTGTCCCAGTCAGATGCTCAAAACCCTAGACCCCTTTAGCAAAGAACACTAACACCTTTATCTCCTGGTTTCCTCAGCCTTGTATCCTAAGTCCTAAGCCTCCATGTAACCCTATAAACCCTATAAACCCTAAACCCTAAACTGAAGCCCCCCCAAGCGTAGCTGCGCTCTGGTGGGAAGGCCAGGAAACGCCGGATCTTGGCGTGCAGGATTCGGTGTCACCGAAGCCAGGCAGAGGCCGGTGGAGTAGACCCTGCCTTCAATAGGGTTTTGGGCTACACTAAACTATGGTTATCCCATAATAAGTATAGGTAATTATTAAGAAGCAGTCTAAACGGGTTCCATAGAGGGTGTAAGCGGTTCCTAAGACTTATAGATTGTGACAGTTCTTGATAAGGGCCTTAGGTTACGAAATGGATTCTGCCCAGATTTCAGGGTCAACGTTCCTAAACCCTGAAGCTTCAAGCCGAAACGCTATACCAAAGAAGCCTAAACCCTACAGACCCTAAAGCCTAGACCCTGGACCCTAACCCCACAGACTATATCCGAAACCTGAACCCAGCCCGAAACCCCAGGCGCTACAGCTTTGAAAGGATTTTCGGGAACCTGTGGGCAAAAGGAAATATGAGCCTTTAAACTGGGTTCTTGTTAGGTGATTTTATTTAAGTTGAAATAATGGAGATCTGTATATAATATGGTTTCCTTATTATGGCAACTTAAACTAAATCCCTTAACAGGAACCCAGTAAAAGGCTCACCTCCCGGTAGCGCCGGAGCTTCGGCGGTGCGCTTTTACACCCCGCCGCCGGAGGAGGAGGCAGGTCCCTCCGGGGTTTGGGGATTTGGGGCTCATGGGGTCAAGATGGGTTCCTCTACGGGTTCTGTAGGGTTTTAGGGTTTATGGTAAGCTTCAGGACTTATAGGGTTTGGGATATAGGGTATTCGGTTTCGTGGATTTTTTGTCCGGGGTGTTCAGGGTTGAGTTAGTTTTGTTTGACAGGGGTGAGGTGTGAGGGCATGGACGCTGGTTTCGGGGCTTGGGGATTAGGCTTTTGCTTTTTCCACGAAAGGAGTCCTTGTAGTAGTTTAGACTGACTCCAGCCCATTACTTAGAATAGACCAGACGATGTTCTACCATCTTCCTTTGCCATAGCGCATATGACTACTACAGCTTGCTCTCACCCTTGCTCTCTCTCTCTCTCTGCCTCTGTCTCCTCGCCGTCTTGGCATACCTCTAAAACCACAGCCCTTACCCGAAAAGAGCCAACCTTCAACGCCCTAACCCTCTAAACCCTCCCCCACACCCCAAACGCTTTGAAGCCCTAAAGTTAACAAGGCGACTACAACGACCGTGCCGGCGTTGGAAGCTCCTCCCCACACTCCTCTGGCCGAGGAGCAGGAGGCATGAATGCACCGTTTTTGCTCCGGGATACTCCGGGTTTTAGGGGCGAAAAGCTTTACAATTGGAGCATAAAGCACGCATATTACACCCTCGGAGCTCCAATGGAGCTCGGAACTTACGATTCTGGTGGATTGAAATGGGATGGGTGGGTGATGTTGGATCCGTTAAGGATAAAAGATGACTCCAACGACTGGCACGAATCGTAAGCTTGTTGCGGAAGTCTTAGGTTGTACTAGGGTTTGGGAATCGTGGTTGGGCTCACCAATGCGCTGCACAGGTGGTTCTTGTTTAAAGGAGGGCTGACGCAGAAGACATCGCGGCCGCCTGCGGCTCATGGGTCGTATCCACATGTTAACGCTTTGCAGCCGCTGGTTGGGTCGCAGAGGTTCTCCCTGTGATGTGTGTCCTCTCAACGAAAGGATTCTTGGTTTTGTTATTCAAAGGCTGGCGGACAGCAATAGCCTCGTACTACTGTCGGATTCCGATGAGCTATGACGAGCAGGTGCAGTACAACTGAAGCCAAACACGTGAATTCGTTTATTCGGTACACTTGCCTTAGGCACCTACGGTCGGCAAGAGTCATCGACACGAGCCAGGTCAAGAGAAGTAGGTTGCATCAAGTTGGTCGCCAGAGATTCGAAAACCCTTCAGACCCTAAACACCCCTCACCATTAAACCCTAAACCCCTAAGGGGTTGACCAATAAACCCCACATACCCTGAACCATTCAGCTAACCGTTAAACTGTAAGCGAACAGGCGTTGGCCACCTTCTTCGATGGCACATTCCTTCCGCACTGCAGCTGAAATAGTAGGGTCTTGGCCGTCCTTCAGCAAGAGGGTTTAAGGTCCAGGGTTTGGGAGTCTTTTAGTGAAGTGTTTGCGCATCAGTAGGGTACAAAGCGGGTGCAAATCCTTCAGATTTGCAAAACAGCAGCGTGGCCTTGGGTGCAAAGATGAAGGGTTTAGGATTTAAAATTTAAGGTTTTGGGGCTTGGCGGTTGAGGGTTTAGAGTTGGGGCTTCGGTAGCTGCTAAACAGGGCTCCCAGATGTTGCTGCTCTCTTTGCCAAGCCACAAAAGCTTCCCGGTATAGAGCTTGAGATGTCGGTTTATGTCGGGTTTCGAGTTCCACTAAGACGAAAAGCTGCAAAGCGTGGTTTCTCGGTTCTTGTTTCTGGGGATGATAGCTACGTACTCCCTACTGGTACCATCAAAACAGGAATGACGATTTGATGATTGAACGTGTTCAGCAACGAGGTATACTTTTGCGAACACAGAGCTCGACTCAGCACACCCTAATTGTAGACTCTTCCTAGTTGCAAGACAAGGGACTGCTACAGCTGAGAAGAAGCCACCACTGAGGTCGTATTCGATGCCGACACGGCCCCCAGAGGTTTACCGAAAGCAGGTGGCCGAGTCCCGGATGTAGCCCTTTTAGCCACTGCCCCTAATTAACTCCAATAGATTCCCTGTAGAATACATCCTTGCCCGCCCCACCCTGCAAGAGGGTTCTTTTCAAAATCAACAGTCCGCAGAATAAGTGAACTTCACTTCTAAACCTCAGCAGTCAGACGCTTGGAATTCTCAAATATCCTCAACCCCCCAAGCGTGAGGCCCGTTAGGCCCTACACTCTAAAAGCCCTAACACTCATCCTAAACCTCCAGCCGCTAACCTTAGTCAAGACAGAGCCTTGTGCTGGGCCTCTGCTTTAACACGCCGCACCTGCAGTCTCTATTCTATTTCCGTTATATGATTTAGCCAGCTTCATATCTAGTAATCATGCACCGGCGTGGCAAGGCTTTCATGAGAATCCCTTCTGAGCAGAAGGTTGCGGTTTCATGTTACAGAGCTCTGAAATGTAGAGGGTTCTATGCCACCGGTTGGGAATTCGGGATATGACATCAATGAACATTTAAATCTGCATGCGGGCGGAAGGGACTCCAGCTCCGAGATAAACCGCCGATTCCGGGCTAAAAGCATCGGCTGCATGTACTGCCTCTGCTGCTGCTGCTGATGATTGTGATGGTTGTAGTGGCGATGATGGTGATGGTCTCATCTTGTGTGACTGTGCAACTGCAATTAATCTCATCTTCCGGCTTTGGGCGGCGGTTGCCGCTATTGGCTTCAACAACGCGAGGTCCCTGAACCAACCCACCCACCCACCCCGCGCAAACCAAACCCCAAGCCAAACCCCAAACCAAACCAAGCCAACCCACCGACCGACCAACCAACCAACCAACCAACAAACCAACCAACCAATCAACCAACCAACCAACGAACCAACACTAACACCTCAGCCACCTCCCGGAAGGTGGAGCCTTTGATGAAGGGCAAGCCGTCATCCATGATTTTCGAAGCTCAGAAGTGGCAGGTCATGGCAATTACGGCTTGAGTTTGGGACCTACGTTCAGCGTTGAGAGCCATAGGCGGCTGTGGGGCTTAAAGTGCTGCCTGGAGGTATATCTAGGCCATAAGCCACACAGCCTAAGCACCCTAGGCTCCAGGCCCTGTAAGCCACATGAAGCCCTAAAGCCAAGGCAGGGGATGTTTCGTCTGATTCCTCAGGTCCCTTAAACCATACGGGTCTAGGCTTTAGAGAGGGTGGGGCTTTATCCAGGTTCAGGGTTCAGAGTCTGGCAGTTTGGGGTTGTAGAGCTCGGAGTTTTCAATCCTTGTTGGCTGACATTGGGAGAACCGTGGATTTAAAGCTTTGAGCGCATGGAGGGGAGGGAGGCTTCTTGTAACATAGGCCTGTGAATAACTCGTAATCAAACACACTGACCGCTATAGGCTATAGCATAGTGTGTTATGGTCATTCATATACTAGTTATTAAGCGATTAAGGAGCCGGTGTTGACTGGCTTACATGATATCTGCGTCTCTGTGCATGGTTATGGTATCTACGGTTGCTTTGAGTGTGCACGGGGTGTTGCTAAACAATCAGTGAGTAGTGTGTCCTTGGCATGTGGAGCACTCTGAGGCGCAGTAATCCTTATTAACATTAACAGTGCAGCTGCTTTTTTGCTCCCGAACACTGGCATTGTGGAGTCTTCTAGTGATGCAGACACTTACACCTTTGGAAATGCTCATTTTGCCAATCAGGCTTTGCAGGTCGATGCAGCATCTTACCTTCCATTCTTGAAGGCTCTGATCGTCTGCCCCTCATCAACTTCGCTAAGCTCCGTCACGCTTCAGCTTCCACAGGCGGCGCATCAGCTGCTAAATCCGCCCTTTGATCGGGTCTTGCGGAAGCTGCCGCCGAATGTGCCAGACTCGGAGCTGGAGATGAAGCTGAGAGCAGATGGGTAGTGTAGTTCACCCTTGTTGGCCTCCTTTTGAAGGGACCCTAAGGCCCCAAAGTTACTGAACGACCCACAATCCTCCAATCATACATCCAGTACCCCATTCTTGAATTCCTCGGTCGCGCTTCTAACTGGAGCTGCAAGATGCCACCACAGAGATGGAAGCCACTCGAAGTACGGAAGGCGACAGCTGAGACTTGAATGACGAGGTCAGCAAGGTAAGGCTGGGGCCTGCATGTCTGAGTTCGAGGATGGCCCACAAGCCTAAGCTATCAGACCCTGAACCTCAGCCAGCTGCAACTTGTGGGGCATCCAAGTAGTGAGGGCTTAGGGAACTTTGATGAACAGCAAAAGATGAAATACCTCAACACACCATCCTAGCTGGCAAAGTCTGTAGCCTCTATATGCGATGGGCTGTAGTACGAGGTGGACTGCTTTAACTCCCCCCGCGAACTTCACGCCATGAGGATCTAAATCCAAAATCCCTAACCCCGGACCTAAATTCTAAATCCTTGACCACCGCCTTTGTAAGAGCCAAAGTACACCCTTGCAAACCACATCCCCTACAAGAGACCCTTCTAAGAATATTTGCAAGAGCCCCTATACCCTTTTAAGGAACCCTGATACGAAACCTGGTAGGGGAACCGCGGTACCCTTTCAAGGGAACCCTCAAAAAAAAACCCAATGCCCTGAAAGAAACTGCAATGTAGAGGGCTTTGTAATTAGGATAGGGGTTTTGGGGTACAGCATAGTACAGTTATAGCAAGGCGCGCTGGGCATAGTAGTGGAGAAGGTGAGGAACCGTTATAAGAAGCCCCTATAAGAACCCTCACAAGAACCCTTATTGCGAGGAAGCGGTGCAAGAGCCCCAAAAGGGAATAACCAACATAACCCTTTGTAAGGAACCCCTAAACCCTAAACACTGAACTCCCCTAAACCCCAAACCCTAAACCCTAAATCCTAAACCCCAAACCCTAAACCCTAAACCTGAAAGCCCTAACAAGAACCCCTGACTATGTCCTTTAAGGAGCCCTCGTCCGCAGCCAAGGTGCGCCCCGGCCGAGATGTCGCTCCTCCTGGGCCCATGGGCCATCCCTGTGAGCCAGCCGGGCACTGAGGGATGGTTGACTGGATATATATATATATATGTATATGTATATGTATATACATATATACTTATTTAATTTTTGTTTATTTATTTATCGCATATATATATATGCATATATATATATTAGAATATCAGAAGAAGTATCAGATAAGATAAGGATAAGGAAGGAAAGATGATATGACATGCTACAGCATGATGTGATCAAGGTTTATAGGGTTTAGGGTTTAGGGGTTTGGGGTTTGTTTGGTTTCTTTCCCGGATGTGGGGTTAATCTAAAGAAGTATTTCGATAGCTTTGTGAAACATAGGATGTTATGCTACCACAGCAGATGATAGACCCTAAGCGCAATCGAAGCCCCGGCTGCGAAAACCTCTTGGAAACCAGACTCTCCGCAAGATTTCGCCTCCAATATCCCGATGCTGACACACGAGAACACATGTGCCGCTTCCAACACGGCCTGCCTTAAGTACTACGAGCTCAGCTCGGACACTCGAAACCAACGCTAAACCCGGGTGAGTTCGGTGTATGCTGAGCTGGAGGTTTCGACCTAATTAGTCCGAGTGACGTTCCGAGAGCGGAGAAAGGTCCTGTTAAAACAAGAGCCCTACACTCTAGCCGCTAGCCTTGAGCCCCATGGGCGCCGTTAATGAGGCTAAGAGGGCCCGTAGCCAGCACCCTTGTGTTCGGAAGCCCTAAAGTGTCTTTGCCCATATCTCCCATGAGTCAAGCCCAATCAAGCCTTAAAGCGGAGAGCCCTAAGCCCCAAACCCTAAACTCCCTAAACGCTACATTCTCGCCCCAAAGAAACAAGATGAACCCCTGGAAGCTTCCGAGAAATGCCACGTTTCCAGGTCTGGTTTGAGATGCAGCACCGGCTCGAGGTGGCGACGACCATCTCATGTCTGTTGAAGAATGGATGTTCTTATGACGGTTGCTACTATTGTTGCCGTGCTATATTGTTGTTTTGCAAAACCTCTTGACTCGCACCAAGACTCGACTACTATTCTGAGTTCCTTCTCTATTTGCGTATGTCCTTCTTTCTTTCTGGTTCGTTTCTTACGTTTTGGTGAGTACCCTAACTTCTATCTATACGAAGATGTTTATTGCTGCTGCTGTCGTCGACGGTGTAGACAGTCAGTGTCTAGTGTTTTGGGACACAAGGCTCAAGCGGCTTCTGGCTCCAGGGGCTTGACATGATCCGAAAAGACCTACTTTTTTAAGGGTTCCTTACTATGGTCTCTATATATATATATATATATATAGTTCCTTAAAAAGGTAGGTCTTTTCGGTTACAGGTAGGGTGTAGGATTCGGGGACTGTGAGATTAAAACCCAAGTCCGAAACCGCTGTTTGAGAAGCCTCCGCACTGGATGGAGTCCCCACCCGCATGTCTTTTGTTAGGCGTGAAGCCCCTGTTAAAGTCGGCCTTCACTCGGTAAACCCTAAACCTTAAACCCCTGAACCCATAAACCTCTAAACCCCTATAAACCCCTATAAACCCTATAAACCCTATAAACCCTAATAACCCTAAACCCTAAAAGGCGCATCATAGAGCTTCCGAAAGTACAGGTTTGGGATGCCGAGCTCCTGAAGCCCTTGATCGAGCCGAAACACAAGGTCCCAAGGCCATGCCAAGCCTTTGGTGGCTCCTCCGACCCCCTTCTAGCTACAAGCTGGAAGCAGAAGGCATCAAATCACGTCCATCTATAGTTTATATAGTTTCGGAGCCAGAGAGTTGCTAATTCCAGGTTTGGAGTTCTGGTTATGCCCGTGTTCATGAAGTTCGGCCTGTGGAGGTCATTCTCCGGAAGCAGGGCAGGAGAGCGGAAAGGAGGAGGCGAGAGCACCCGCTAGATTTAGGGATTTAGGGTTTAACAGGTGGAAGCACAACCTCGATGAATCGTTTGATATCCCCACTGCCACGGCGGCAACCACAATGATAGCGGGAAGTGGTTTCTTCAGTGTTCTTGGTGCTACGCCTGCAATGCTGGTTCACATGAAGGATTTAGATGTGACGACCTGGTGAAGAAGATGATGAAGGAGTGTATACTTCTGAAATACCAAGCTACTGCCAGACATCTCAGTCACGTCCGTCTCTTGGTTGTTCGTTGTATCTCGGCTGCGACCGTGCGTATCATTGCTTCGAGTCGCCGTCGGGGCGCTGTCGTAGCAGTTTCTGTCGCCCTCGCCGTCGTCGCCGTCGTGTCGTCCTCGCCCTGGTCCTGCTGGTCATGCAATGCATAGCTTGCAAAGCTTCACCTTTCAGTCTCTGGGCACGCAAATCCCTAAACCCCAGACCCCGAACCATAATCTCAGGCTCAAGCCTGCAAGCCGCTGAAGAAGAGAAGGGCCGCAATGGGAAACTGTTGCTCCCTAAACCCCCTTCTGCCGTATAGAAACCTCACAGACCGTGTAGTGCAATAAAATTCATAAAATCCCAAATCCCTCCGTAGCTACAATCCAACGAAAATGTCCACAGAAATTCCGCTGCCGACTCTCAGGTTGGCTACCTGCGTGTCCCTTTTTCCCAACTGAAAGCCTTCGAGGAATCCCTATCACTTGGGATACATTACCTATCATTATAGTACATTATTGTACGTTGTAGTACGTCATAGTATCGAGGTTTCGGGGCGTCGAGGGTTTCCTCTGGTCCCGGGATTGAGGGGTTCGGGTTACTATCGAGACCTGAAGGACTAATTCAGCACTGAATGGCATCGCCGTATAGTACGTAGGTAGTTACAAATTGTGGAAAAACTGCCCCCCCAAAGATGGTTTATGGTGTTGATTCAATCCCGACTGTCCTAGTAAAACCCTTGAGCTTCCCTCTCTTTATCGCTCTACTTACCCCTTTAGGGTTGGGGGTTTAGGGCCCCTAGGCCCTAAACTTCCAGGAAGCGACGGCTACGGCAAAAGCTCTACCATGGGAGGGGGCCAAGAGCTGGTTTGGGTGCGGTGGCTCAGAGAAGAAGGGCTTCTTAAAATTCTTGGGACCTGAGAGAGATAGTTACAAGGGGTCCTCTTGATTATAAGGGAGTCCTCCTGATGTATGTTGAAAGGGGGTCCTTTATATTGATACTGAGGATCCTATTATATTGCTTCGAGTCTATATTTTCTCGGAACAGCGCAACCCGGCAGGTCCAAGAGCTGCCTTAATCCCCCAAACCCTTGCAATCCTGAATCCGAACAAGCCCCCAAAAAGGCCGTGGCGTGGCGCAGGAAATGAGAAAGACACCCTAAGCGCAGGTCCCAAGATACCTGAGACCCAGTTGCAGTGAGGCTCCTGTGCCATAGACCCTAAACCCTAAACCCCTGAACCCTAAACCCTCAACCCCTAAACCTAAGATGCTGTTCTTCAATTCTAAATTCAAGAACCCTAGACTCGAAGTCCGGCAGTGTCCTTTGTCCTCAACCCTCTAGGCCATTACCTTCACCCTCGTCTAAACCCCGGAACGTCGGTGCCTCGTGCCGTAAACACTGTAAACAGCGAACCCTGAACCCGAAACCTTCGAAAACTCCTAAAGACAACCATAAACCCTAAACCCTAAACCTAAACCCTTAAACCCTAAACCCTAAACCTTATAAACCCTAAACCCTACAAACCCTAAACCCCTAAACTCCTAGAAAACACCTGAGAGCCTCATAGAGGTCGGAACCTCCGGGAGTACCTCGACTTGTCCTTTGCCCAGCAGGAGGCGGCGATTTGGGCTCATGGGCTTCGTGGTGTTTAGGGTTTAGGGTTTAGAGTGTATGGAAATCTGGCGGGACGGGTCCAATTTTTTTTGGGAGGTCTTCACTATGACGAGCTGCCAGAACAAAGTGTAGAATAGTAGGGCTGCGTGCCTTCATTCTACAGACATGAAGATTTCGTAAGGATTCCTAGTTATAAGGGTTCCTGTTCGTCAGGGTTCTCCTTGGTTTCATGTTGGAATGTTCGAGCACCGGGAGGGACCTTAGAGTTTCAGCATATGGAAGGTTTAGGTTTACGGAGGGGTTGAGTATGTTTGCAGGGTTCCGGGTTTCATTGGTGCTCTGGTTGAAACAAAATGTTCAGGGCGCGAAGAAACAGATGGTTCGCACGCAAAGCACCTATTGCCAAAGACCCTTTTCCGAATGACATGCAAACATGGTTTTTTGAGTTCCACTGATGGGGGTGTGTTCCGGGGACAACCTGGATGCCAGAACAGGTGCTCAGAGGCGCTCATTCCTGCCAAGATTCTTGAGGAACCCGTAGAACACGGCAATGAAAAATGAAGGGGATTCCTGTTTAGCAGAGTGAGGTATCTACCCTAATTCCATCAATCCCCACCCCAACCACCACCCCCGGCCGCCACTTTCCTTGGTGACTTGAGCCTAGTTGAGCGGTGACACTATCCTTGCTGGAGGTTCACTACTCCCTGCGCTAGGGTTAACGAGGGTTAATTAAGGAAGACTGCAACAGGACGTGCCTGGCGAGCCGAATGGCGAGTTTCTGGGCAAGGCGCTACCTATGGACCCAGATCTCGTTTTGACATATCAGTACCAGTTGTGGGGTACACTCCGACTGCCGGAAAAGCCACCAATTCCTCTGTATATCCGTGTGTCCCCTTCTCCTGTGTGAGACAACTCCCTAGAGCCATTCCCGGGACTGGTAGTAATTGACTCGACGGAAAATGCCGAGACAAAGGCTTATCCGGTAGCCGTGCCCAAAACCTTCCAATTAGGGCTTAGGATTTACGGAGTACTGTCCCACTGTCACTGCAAAGTGGCTGTTGCTTGGCGAGTTAGTATGAGTTGTGATATGCCCGTGCCTTGTTGCGATCATCCGAACGAGCTGGTCCCGAAAACCTCCCAAAAGGTCTCTGATCTCTCTTAACTGTTACTTTCATGCCTCCTCAGCCGCTCCAGGTCTTAAGGCCTGAAGCGAAAAGCCTGGTATGAGGGAAGCAAAGCACGAATAGCTTCTGAGATGTGATTCAGCTCAGCATACAGCAGAACAGTGATCTCAGGACGTTTTGGCAGATTCCCTACACCCCAAACCCTAAACCGAACTAAACCTGTAGGTCTTTCTACTTCCAAGGTGTTTCAGATTGGAGCTTGGTGCTCAGGGTTCATTTAAGCTTAATTCCATCCTAAAGTCCTGCACCCTCAGTCCTTAAAGCAGAAGCCTTCAGAAGGGTGTCTTTGCTCAGAGAGCATTGGTTTCTTGAGGGCTCCTACATGGGCAGGTTCACGAGCAGTACATGCAGCGACGGGGCCGCGAGGAGCAGCGGGGTTTCCGCGTCGTCCTGGCGCGCATTGCTGCTTTCGGGTTGGGATTTTCGGGGCATACGGCTTTCGAGTATGAGAGAGAGAGAGAGAGTATGTGTGTGTATACATATATACATATATATATATATATAATATACATACATACATACATACATACATACATGCATGCATACATACATACATACATACATCTACGTCTACTTCTACATCTACATCTACATATACACGTACAGACAGACAGACAGACAGACACAGACAGACAGACAGACAGACAGACCGACCGACAGACAGACAGACAGACAGACATACACACATACACACATACACACATACACACAGACATGCACACAGACATGCACACAGACATGCATGCATCCATACATGCATTCATACATACATACATACATACATACATACATAAATACATACATACATAAATACATATACATACATACATACATACATACATACATACATACATCCATGCATACATACATGCATACATACATACATACATACGTACATACTTACACATACTTACATACTTACATACATACATACATACTTACATACATACATACATACATACATACATACATACATACTTACATACATACAGACCGTGTATTACAAACTGGTCAGGTTGGTGTGTGCATAGTTCATGACCAAATGCCTTCTCTGCAGCGACAACACTTGAAACTCGCTAGAGGACTCAAACTGAGCATGGTTGTTGATGAACAGAAGTCCATCCAAGTGCAATCACAAAGGGGTCGTAGCGCATCGCTTTAACCCTAAACCCCCCATACCCTCAAGCCCTCTATAGACCCTGAACCCTAAAATCCTAAAGCCCTAAACCTTTCAGGGCCTTTTGGATTTCCAAAGACTCTCAGCGTTCTCGCGGATGTCAGGTGCGTGGAAGTTCGGAGAGTGTGCTCAGAAAGGCTGGCGTAATATGGAAGCCTCAGTCACTACTTAGATTACTATCCCTCAGGGCAGGTCATTGTATATTGCAGTTTTAGTATATTACAACCCAAACTTCTATTCCAATCGCCAAGGCCCCTTGCTAGTAACATTCATAAACAAGTCCATATATGTCGTTGTGAATGGGTTTCATTGCTCTACCGTTACTGTTCCGGCTTGCGGACTTTTGGGTGCAGTGGGTAAGGTTCCTAACGGACAAAGGAGGTTTCGGGTTTGGGGGTTTGAGGGTTAAGAGCTCTATTTTGGGGGATCTGGTCCAGGGCTAGCAAAGTCTCTGTCCGGGAAGTGTTTGGGGCTTTGGGCTTGTGTAGGGTTTACTGACCCAGAGAACCCAATACACCTTAATTAAGGAATATAGCTTAAATTATAGGGGCCTTATTCGTATGATTTAAGGTATATTCCTTAATTAAGGGGTATTGGGTTCTCTGGGGAGTGTTTACTACTATTTTTTCTCGGGCTCGTCTTATTCGAGGAATGAAGTCTCAGTTTAGTCGTCAGGCTGTGGAAGGAGGGATCTGAGATTTAGCCGAAGCTACATAACTACTGTTAAACTTTAAACAGGGTTTAGGGTTTCACAATTACTGTTAACCTTTAAACAGTATGTCCAACTATCAAGACAAGGACAACTAACCAAAATTACGGACCCCTAATTCTCAGGAGCGTCCCAATCCGTGTCAAGAAACCTTTGGTCCGCACTTGAGGCAGGTCACTCGAAAGTTATGTTTTCTGCAGACTCAGACTTCGTAGCAGGTGCCGGAGGAGACAGCGCCGGGTTGAAACGGAGGGGGTGTAGGGTTTAGCGTCCTTGCAGCATAGATTATGCGCAACAACTTGGAGTGACATGCTGCTGGCCCAAGCCTCTTAAGCACCCTAAACCTCACCCTCCGGCCTTAAGCCTTAAAGCCCTTAAAAAGATGGGTGGGGGGAGATGAAGGTGGTGCGGCCCATATATATTCCTCCGCCCGGAGCCGGAGCCTCAGTCTCGCCGCCTCGCCATTCCTGAGTCTGTTTTCTGGGGTTTAGGGGTTCAGGGATTATGGGGCTTAGGGTTTATATATAGGGTTTAGAGATAGGGTTTAGGGTTCAGGGGTTTATAGGTTTATGGGCTAGGGGTTCGAGCAAGTATGTGCCAAAAAAATGGAATTGATACGGAAGAGTATACTGCATCAGGCATCAGGTTGGAAGGGGCTGGTTACTTGCAGCTTGTGATGTGACATACCTGCTGTTGGCCTCATTCAGTCATATACGTGTTGACGGGTGCTAATCAGCTGCGAGATGCTGCGAGCCTGATGTTGGGTTTGCTGCTCACTGTGTTCATGGTCGCCATGCGCACGCCCAGATATGTTTTGATTCTGTGTGGCCCCTGGGATCCGGGGCTGAGTCCTGCATGCTCTGGACAGGGGCCGAGATCTTCCTCAGCATTATATACGGACCTGCAATAAGAATGTCGGCTACTTCGAGCCCTGTACGTGGAAGTGGTTTTCGGTTGTGTTGAGTGGCCTCACGCACACATCATGACACGGACAGGCTGTGGACGCACATACATCGTCTTCTCCTTCCTTCGCACGGCTTGTATTCGCAGCTTGCACGCGGAAGATGAGGGGGGTGTAGCATTCTGACTTTCTTTGCCGGCAGTCTGCTCAGTTCAGGTTGCCGTTGTTGCTGGTGCTACCGCGTGAGGAAGCTTTCTGAGCCGTTCATGCTCTCGGTTGATCCCTCAGCACTGAACCCTAGAGAGCTAATTAACCACTTTAGGGTTATAGGGCCTAGGGTGCTTGTGTTCAAGGAATCCCAATAAGTATAGCTCTGACACCCTAAACCCTATAAACCGTAAACCCTAAACCCAATAAATATAGCTCGGAAACCCTAAACCGTCAACCCTAAGCCCAATAGCTAAACCGTATAAACCCTAAACCCAAATAAGTATGGCCTGAGCTGCCAGACCCTTCACTCGTCTCACCTGAGCACCTGCCCAGCTGCGTGTTGCTTGAACCCAGGATCCCTTGCAGCGCTTTAAAGTTGAGGGTCCATGGGCTCAGGCTCTTGGAGTTTTTGGCGGTTTTTGGGCTTCTAGGCTTGCAGATAGGGTTTACGGTTTCGTGTAGAGAGTCGTGATTGTGCTCATACACGAAGAGTATAAGGGAGGCCAAAACTTATATCCGCTGCCGGAGGTCCCAAAGCAAAACGCGAGTTTGCGCAGCTACATATTCCTGGTGCCGCAGATTAGTTGGGCAGGCCATGTTTCACAAGCAGGATTCTGCGGTGGTGTAGGTGGGCTGGACAGAATATGTCTCTCCACCACTGGCATCTCGAGTGCGTACCCAAGTCGACGGGCGAACCACTCTGGAATACTCAATGGGCAATGGGTGGGGAAAGCAGACTTTCATGGATATCGGGCATGTTCGTCCTACTACTGCTTCTCCTGCTTGGCAATCTCAAGTGTGCCCTGCATCGTTCTGCCAACGCCACGCAGCCTCGCCACAGGCGGTTTGTTTCACTTCCATGCCCAGTGGAAAACGAGGGTGTTTAGGCAGGCCGGGTTTTGGCCCGTAAATTGGTACAAGAATGCCTTGGTAGCATGGTATCTTTCGAGGTGCACGATATGAAATCTTACTGCCCCGAGATGCGTGTAAACCCAGCATATTGAAGCTGATCTGCATGGAACTCATAGAACAACCCTATCATATTGACCTTATATGAATTAGGATGCAACATTAACTCAGGACCTTTGTAGCGGTTTGTGTATCCTCGTCTTGGGTTCCACGGACGTTCGACGTGGTGCCCGAAGACGAGCAGCGCACCTAGCCGGTCCCACAAAGTCCCGAGGAGGGAGCACTCCTCAAAAACGGTCCGCAGATTCTAGATGTGGTGGACAGACGTTGACATTGCGTGTTGTGCTTCCGCAACGTCTGGACGACTTCATGACGCCGGCGGCGATATGGGAATAGATTGATTTAATAAAAAGTCGTCTTGTCACTGACGGTTGATGCTTACACTACACCAGCCAATATGGAAGGATCTCCCGACTTCGAACATGCGGCGACGACACTGCATCCATGAATTTCGCAGTACAGATTGCGTACGACGTACGATGCACGTCTTCGGTGCCGCCATGTCAAAGAGAGAGATGAGCATAATTGCAGCTCGCAAGTGTAAGCTGAACTCCAGCCAGCCTTCGTGCTGTGCGATATATGTGTCTGACGTTTTTTCCCAGGAGCGGATGGATGTCGAGACTCGCTGAAGGATGGGTCATGAGTCGTAGATTCCCTCTTGGGCATCAGAAATGCCGGCACTCGACCTCTGACACATTGGCATGTGCACATCTATTCGGACCCTTGCGGTGTTTCGCACAGAAACGGAGATTGACTGCGACGAATATGCCACTCTGCTCGGCTACGTGTTGTCTCGGAACGCTGAGCAGATTCGCTGACATCCGGCTCCACTGCCGAACTGCGCAGCTGCGTAACACCCAAAGCTCGGAGAATGAGCTCCGCCTGGTGCAGCGCTGGTGCCGCACCGAATACTACGAATACTCTACCAGGTCTACCACGCCCTGTTTGCAACTGACAGGAAGATACAAAATCGTTGCTTCGCCAAGTGCAAAGCTTATCGAGCCTGCTCGCAAGAGCATAGCACGCCGTACCAAAAGCGTCTCCATTCCTTTGGAAGCTTCTGTATATCCGGATTTGAGGATGCTGCCGGGTACTGTTGATGGACTCTCATGGGGAATCTTGCACCAATTTGAGCAAATCAACAGTGGGAGTACCCCGCACCCTCTGTTTAACATTGATGTCCAGTGCTGGGAAGGGCCGTGGGGCGGAAAATGCCAGTACAACCATACCTCGCACTGCTGGCGTACCAGCCCGTACCAGCATTAGTTGTATCGTGGTGCCATGAAAACGCTACCCGCATTATTAGTACGGTGGGTGGACAAAATCGTGCATGAGCCACAGCAAGAAAAGCATAACACGTTGACTGACTCACTCCCCTCACCCCTCTAATGTCAATGTTGATGACGCAGATACCTGATGCAGGATTTCGTCCATTCGCCGACATGCCT